AGGTCGTGCACAATAATTCCTTTGAGAAATTCTTTTAGCAAGTGCCGTTTGATATCAATTTGTGCGCATTATCCAACGAGCTAGCGCGAATGAGTGGAAGGGAAGGTTCTGACTCGACCCTAACTAGGCTGTCTGCAGTCGATGCCAAGGAATTGAGGAAACCTGGGACTGAACCAGCGACCATGGGTGTATTCTTGTCTTACGTAGATCAGGTGTAAATAAGTAGTCGCGCTCCCAACTCAACAAAAAGAACTGGTCAATCTGGACAAGAGGTTGCACTACAAGAATTATACTCTCGACTAATCCACATGTAGAACTAGGTTTAGTACGTATCTTCGGCTACTCCTGTGACTACCTCGACTGATCCCAGCATCACCACGGCGTCACACAGTACCACCAATACACCTGCTACCACGACGGCTTCTTCTGTGACTAGCACAAGAGCACCCAGCACCACCACGGCCACACACAGCACCACCACGGCTACTACTGACATCACTACCAATACGCCTGCTACCGCTAAAATTATGTATCTATTATTGAATGCTCTGTCGGTTGATTCAAACTGCTCATGCGGTGACTGTCGTGGTATGGATGCTTCAGTCTTGAAACATCCATGCCAAACGCTTAACTGTTGTGGTGTTGCCCGTCATTTATGCTACAGAGAGTTGAATTGCCCCGGAAGACAGTGTTGCTGCTCATCGGAATTTTGTGCTACTGTGAAGGAATTAATATTCATCCTACGGATTTCGTAGGCCAGAACTTGACTTTTGTATGCAATCGTAGGCGCACACCTATGATTTCGCCTTTTTGGAATCCTCCACGTCAATTTTTTCCAATATGTATACGAATTTGTAGCAAACATAAAATTTCGCTTTTCATTTGTGAATTGACGAAATCGTAGAGCTGGTCCTACGATTTTTGTAGGGAGTTCATAACGCAGAGGAAATTGTAAAGCTGATTGATTGGCGTTATCTACATCTACATGCATGACTACTCTGACTATATATATATACTATATCTAATGCTATACATACGTGCGCTCTGCAGAAGGAACTTCTGGTGTCCATGGCCGAGCACGCCGCACGCCAATCGAGCTTGGTCGTAAACTAACGTCAACAGTGACGTCTGTTCTGATTGACGTCTGTTCTGATTGGTCGATAACCCTATGACGCCACTGGAGTGACGTCGCTACATTCTCCCCCGGTTATCGACTTCGCCGCTTGTATCTTCGCTCGCAGTTCTTGAACCAGTCGCTTGAAATGGGAAACATGTTTGATGTCCCGCTCAAGTTCCCAGGTCGCTTCGTAATCGGGCAAGCCATGCCACTTGACGAGGTACTCTTTCTTGCGGTTGAACTGCCGTTGCTTCAGCAGCTCTTCGACGATGAAGACTTCGTGGCCACTGTCGTCCAAAAGCATTGGAGTCGCTTTGGGTATGGGTCGGTTGGTAAACCGATCCGTTTGGCCAGGGCACTTCTTCAGTCGATCGACATTGAAGACGTTGTGAAGACGCTTCATGCTCTTAGGCAACTCCAACTTCATAACATTCGGGTTGATGACTTGTATGATCTTAAAGGGACCAATGAACTTCGGTACTAACTTTGGTTTCTCATCCTTGTTCACCAACTTCGCATGCTTGATGGGGACGTTGCGTGTCGCTAGCATTACAAACTCACCTTCGCGAAACTCCAATTTGGAGCGCTTTTTGTCGTAGTAGCTCTTTTGACGAGCCTGTGCTTTGTCAAGGTTCTCAAGTGCCATCTTGACTAATGCTTTACGTTGTTTGGAAAAGTTCTTCACGTACTCATTCAAAGTTTCAACTTGATTAAGAATGGGGTTACGCAACTTTCTGCCCGTGTCAATTTCGAATGGAATCAGTCCCGTCGACGCTTGAATCAATCCTTGGTGCGCATACTCAATGGTACCGAGGTGCTCTGACCAGTCATGTCCGAGGAAACTGACTTGGCAGCGCAAGGCATCTTCGAGTGTCCGATTTCGGCGCTCTGTGGCTCCATCACTCTGCGCTCTTCCTGCAGTCGTCATGAAGTGCTTGACTCCCATGATTTTCATGAGCTCCTGCCAAAACTGGCTGGTGAACTTGGAGTCACGATCACTGATAATGACCGCCGGTAGGCCATGGTGCCGCACTATTGTGTCGAAGAACTCCTTGGCCACTTGAGGAGCATCGACAGTCGACGTCGTAGCACAGTACTTGGGTCGTTTGGACGTCTTGTCCACGCACGTCATGATCGCATCCTTGCCATTGGATACAGGCAAGCCCGTGATCCAGTCGATGGAAACCGTGTGCCAACACTCATCTGGCGACTTGATGGGAATCATCTTGCCATTGGCTTTGGCACTGCTTGTCTTGTAGCGTGCACAGGTTTCGCAAGTAGCGACGTAGAGCTTGACGTCGTCCTCAAGTCCCACCCAATAGTACCATTGTGCAATGTGAAGTTGCGTTCGACGCACACCTGGATGCGCCGTTATGCTGGTGTCATGACTCTGCGAAATGATCTCGCCTTTCAAGT